TACATGTATGCTCATATATAACTGAAAAATTGTGCTCTACACTGGGAATCGACACAACATTGTAAACTGACTATAACTCAGTAAAATAAAAAAAGTTAATGGTATAAAGTTTCTGTTTGGGGTGATGGTAAAATTCTGAAGATGGATGGTGGTGATGTTTGCACAAAAACATGAATGTACTTACTGCCACTGAACTGTGCATTTAAAAATGATTAAGATGGTAAATTTTACATTGTGTGTATTTTGTTACAATTTAAAAAATCCCCTGTATGTAAATAAAATACCAAAAATAAATAAAATAAAATATAGTATTAATTAAAAAAAATTTTTAGAAAGATTCAGATCTGAACTATACTTTAGTCCCACATGGAGGGAAATTCAAGGGTGCATCTCTCAGTCAAAATTATTAAAAGTAATTAAAATCTTCCCATTAAGAATGTCAAGGGAATGACAGTACCTTCTTAATGCATCACAGAGCATCTTTAAAATCTTCTGTGCTTGTCTACTCTTGCTACCCACCAAAGAGATGGTCACTACATTCCCAGGCCTTCTCTGTCTCAGTCAATCTCACTTCCCAAACAAAGTTTCTCATAGAACAACATCTGTGTGTCTCTTCTTCCTTCCAGAACTCCTTTCTTGTCACCTCAGTTCTACTCAAACAAATGTCATGCTTGTCCTATTCTTCAGTTCTAGCAAAGATCAAATTCTCCTAAAAGGACAATTTAGAAATTTATCCATTAAAGGAACTCTAATAGGCAATGGAGGTATATGATTAGGAACACGTGTCATCTCCATTCCACTAATAAAAAAGTTTAAGCAATATAATTTGACATGGTTGCAATTTAATGCACATATGCCCTAGATATTGAGGATGAACTAGCTTAAGAGACAAAGAATTTTCCCAAATTGTATATTAGTATATTCTCTCCGACCCTATAAAATTATCTGGCTAACATGAAATTTGGGCCCATTGGAATGACGTATCTCAGGTCAAGTTCTATGTTATCCAAACCATTGCTGGCTGAGGTATTGCCCATCCTACTGACCAGGTGTTGGCAAATAACACTAGTGAGGAGTGACTACAGCTAGTCAGCTGTGGAGGCAGACATATGGAGGTATGAACCCTCCCTCTACTTTCCACTAATCATGTGACTTCACATATATTCATTTAAAAAATGAGGCACATAAAAGTAATAAATGGTAGCTATCTAAAATTTCCTTTATCTACTTGCATGTACATTCTTAATTTACCTGTTTTTCAAACTGCATATGGCTCAGTTGGCATTGTGCATTCTATATCAATTAGTTCTTTTATGTCTTTATATGATTCGAAGTAATCAGAATATTTGTAGGCATTTTAAAAGAGGGTCTCAGAGCTGAATAAATTGAATGGATACTTGTCTTCATTACTCTGGCATTCACCTTGTATAGATCTGATGGGCAAGAGTCTTTACAGAATTGTGACAAAGGGGCTTATTCTTGATTGATTTTGCCTGTCTACCCCAGGACCACTGCTTTACAAAACTTCAGAGAATTCTGTTCATATTGGGTCTGTGTTCTCCAGAGACTGTTAGCTCCATAAAGTACAACATGAACAGCACCTCTGAAGTTGTGTAAATGGCAGAACTGTTTCCATTAGTCACACTTATATCTAAAAGAGGCATAACATAGTAAAATGAACAAAAGTTTTTTGCCAAATAGATCTGGATTAACATCCAAGTGGTGACATCTTAGTCTGATAATTAAGTATCTAAACTTTATGTCCTTAGTTATAAAGTAAATATTATTAATTGATGGATTTTCATAAGAAGTAATAATATATAAACATGCATATAATAACAATATTAATAGAGCAGCTAATCCTTATACATGTTTACTATGCTCCAGGCACTATTTATATACTTGACATCTATTAACTTATTAACTTATTTAATCCACTTAATAACTTTATAAGGTAAGCATTTTCTTATTACTCCCACTTTATTGGTGAGAAACTGGCATAGAGAAGGTAAGTAATTTGCTTGAGGAAAATGGTCAAGAAACCAATAGTTTGACTCTAGAATCCGCGCTCTTAATCATTCAGCTATACTTCATCATATATATATATATATATATATGAGTTACATACACTTACATATATCATGAGGTACCTAATTATTACTCAAGTTATGTCTGACCTGTATAAATGCTTCTTCATAACTTTTGGCTTGCTGGCCATCAACTCCAAAATAGTTGAAATCTTAAAACACCCTTGAGAACTTGGATATAAGAAAGAAAGAGATTTTATAAACCCTACCTGGGAGCGATATCCAAGGCATTTATTAATATTCCGCCCAAAGCAAAGCTTCCTGATGCACTAGCAAGTATCAGGAAAATGATAATGCTATAGAAGCTGGAACTCGGGTAAAGCAGGCATAGGCTGAAGAGGGCAGGCAGGAGAAGTCCTGGGGAGTGATTCAGACAACACAGTCAGGTGCATCCCAAAGATGGGGATGAAGTGCCCCAAGTGCTTGAAGCTCCTTACCTAGCGAAGTGAAGAGTTTCCGGATGGTGAGTAAGCTGAAAATATTCCTGGACTGGAGGGTATCTGACATATGACCTGCTAGGATACTAAAAATCCAGGCAAACAAGTTGGGGAGGGAAGACAGCAGCCCATTCTGGGGAGGAAATGTTATTGTAAGAGTAAGTATGAGAGAGAGAGTAATCCCTACATTGAAATTCAGTGTCTAAAATTTGTGCCATCCTACAGGAAACCATCAACATACAACCCCAGAAGACACTACTCAAGAGAAAGAGAAAAGCAGTTTTGAGACCAGAAACAGTTGTCACAATCTGCCTAGTCTTCTATTTCTAATATCATGGGATGTGAAAGTTCTAGATGGTTGAGTGGAAAACTAAGACAGGAATGGGAAATGCCGTCCCTGGAAAAAATGACAGAGATAAAGATAACAATTGAAAACATGTATAAGGTGCTTATTCTGGACCAGCTGCTCTTAATTCTTGCAACAAATCCATGGAAGATAAAATCGAATCACAGCTTAAATGACCTCACTGTTGCACTGGCCCCTAGCCTGGGTTACTGTAAGTTCATTAAAGAAGGCCGCAAAGTGGCAAGCCTAGACTCCATTTCCAAGGAGTCTTTTCTTGTTATTATGGCATCAAACTACAAAAGGTTCCAGGCACTAGTGATTCTCCAAATCAGACAACCAATGAGCATGCCAGTCCTTTCAGAGCAAGATGTTGAGTCATGGGTTCACAACCCAGGACTCTTTGACTTGCCTCTGGGGAGAGGGTTGGTAGGAGCTGGGAAGGGTGGTAGAGCCTGGCCAACTGACTTTCAGGGAAGATTCCCAGTCCCTGCAGAGGACAATGGTATTGAGCCTTAAGTAATACACAAGGGTGATCATACAGCGGGTGGAAGGTAGGGAGTCTGTGGGAATGTGGGCGAGTGTGTATTGTTGTGTCTACACCTTTTGTTCTGGGCATTGTTGACATAATGATTGGAAACAGTGAGTCTCCAGGTAGAGAACATTAGCTAAACAGTACTGGTGGTGGGGGGAGATCAAGAGCTAGGATGAGAGTCACGGGGGAAAAAGAAATGAGTGCAGAGACCTTCATAAAGTTAAAAACAGAAGAACAGAAGGTATGCTTACCTCTCTTACATTAACATGGAACTTGTAGTTGATAAACATTGGTGTATACAAACTCAGGATGCTATTTGTCCAGAACATGGCAAAATTACAGAGGGAAATGACCCAGAGTGGAAGACTCTTAAGCATAGCCTTGATGGGCAGAGATGATGTACTTGATCTGTCCTGGAAAGGAACCCATTAATCGTTAGCACATTATGACAAGCTGGAACACATTTCATTTGGTGCAGAATCTGAGAGATACCAAAGTGGAGCATCTGTGTTTTACCTGGTGGGCAAGGGAGGACGTGATGTATTCCTTCTCACTAATGCTTATACATGGGTGGTCATTTGGGTCCTCATAAAACAGAATGAACCAGAAAAGAGTTAAGGCACAGCCACAAGCACCTATCAAAGCAGGACAAGTTAGAATTGGAATTGTTTCTGTCTGTAGTGAATTTCTTTTCTAAATTGACATTTTTCATTTTTGGTTCAAGAACCTGGACTTCCTCTTTCTTTCTTGAAACTTTCTTAACAAGGCTCACATTTTTGTTAGCTTTCCCTGTATTCACAGCAGCCTCTCCCAACAGAATGAAAATTATAGAAATGGTGGTAAGCCCTGTGGCCTCTCCTAATCTAACCTCTGTATCTCTCCACTAAGGTCAGCCGGGCCTCCCTGCTCTTAGGCCTTCATCTCCACAGATTCTTAACGTGTTCTACTGTGAGAGTATGGAACAGTGGAGCCCACACAGGGCTTGACAATCACCCAGTTTTGAGAGCTAGACCTTAGCCACACTCCTAAGATATAGCCTAGGCCTTAGGGATCATCCAAGTCTGATAAGAATTTGCCAGATTATTTGTTGGTTTTGAATTTTTTATACTAATAATCTGATCATAAGGAATACTCTTTTAGGACCAGGGGTATATAGTGCTCATTAGTCAGTCTACCAGAGATGCGTTCATTCATTCGACAAATATTGATGAAATGCCCATTATGTACTATGCATGATTCTAGGTACTGGGAATACAGCAGCGAATAAAACAGACAAAAAGCCCTGCCTTCAGAGTTTACTTTCTAATGGATGAGCAAAAGAGATAATGAAAAGTAAATAAATAAAAGGTAGTAAATGTCAGTGACAAGAGCTATGGAAGGAGGTTACGAGGGGAGGAAGGAAGGGGTACTATGCTCAGGGAAGGCTGGGACATGGATGTGGGGCAGGCATATTCCAAGCAGAGAGATAGAAATGCTAATAAAGAATCAAAAGGAAATCTAAGAAATCAAAACATCGTAACAAAAATGAAGAATATCTTTAATGGGCTCATCAACAGACTAGACAAGATCAAAGAAAGAACTATTGAACTTTAGGAAATGTCCATAGTAATTTCCAAAGCTGAATTGCAAATAGAGAAAAAGAATAAACAAGACACAACAAAATATCCAAGACCAAAATTGTGGGAAAGTTACAATGGTATAATATATGTGCAATGGAAATATCAGAAGGAGAAGTAAGAGAACAAAAACAGGAGAAATACTTGAAGCAGTAATTACTGAGAATTTCCCAAAAGTAACGATTGGCACCAAACCATAGATGGAGGAAGCTCAGGGAAGATAAACAGAGTTAATACACACAAAAATTATACCTAGGCATATTATGTTCAAACTGCAGAAAATTAAAGATAGAGAAAAATTCTGAAAGAAGCCTGAAGGGAAAAAAGACAGGGGAGCTGGGTTTAAATTTATAATTCTTAGATTCTACTGGTCACAAATCCCTGGTCACTGATCTGGGGCTTGACCGCTTCTGTTCCTACCCAGATCCATTCTCACACTGCTAGGAGTTTTGAATGGCTCTGGTAGAAATTCTTGCCTTCTCTATCATGCTCCACCTATATTCCCTGCAAATAGCTTTGTCTGCTACCCACCTTGGCCAAGCCTCAATTCAATGAATGTGGGAAAGAGTCCTGCCAGGTCTGAAAAAGTCTTGGCTGTATATGAGCAAAAATTTCTGGGAGTGATGACTAGAAAGGTCATGAGTTCTGATGAACTTCTAATCATGATGCCACAGACTTCTACCCTATGAAGAGGGCTTGGCAGGAGGGAGTCCAGAATGGGCTCGCAACAGTGTGGAATCCAGGACAAGGCACCTCTTGCGTGGGCTTCAGAGCAGCTCTGATGGAAGCCATAAGTGATCTCCGCAAGGGCTCTTCATAGTAGAATGGGTCAGACACTAGCCAGATGTAAGTTGAGGGGAGAGTGGGTGGCTAGGAAACAGAGGCAGTGGGTATACACAGATTGTGCAATAATTTTGACTGTTAAAAGGGAGGTAGCTTGAAAGAGGAGGCAGGGAAAGGGAGACATTATAGAGATTTGAGAAGAGCAGAGAAGTTTTGAGAAGTTGAAGTAGTATTTGTGGAGAGAAACACAGCAGGACAGCCAGGTTGTTTTAAGTGCAAATATGAGTGTGTGGTTCACTTTGCTCTGTTTGGTAATTTTCGCCAGCAATTATCAGCTGCCTGAAGGCAGATATTATTTTGTTCTTTAAAAGAGTATTGATTTGATTTAGATTTATTTAAGTTTATTGAGAAGACCATTCAAATGGAGCAAAAAAAAATCTTGGTTTTGGTTCTGCCTCTGCCACTAACTTGAGCAGGTCATTTCATATCTATGGGCACTGGGTTGATTTATTGTAAAAGAGTTGTGGAGGCAGGTACTTAAATCTCTATACTGCTACCATCTAAATGATGACACTTGTCCTCTATTTGAAGTGATAAGAAAAAGCACATGGCAATTCATGGTAAGGCTGTTATCATAGTATAATGCATATAGTCCCTTTCTTTGAATGGGACACCCATGAGAATTGCAAATGACATATGTTGCTGTACACATGTATATGACGTTGAGATGGGAATACAACATGAATATTGGTGCTCGTCCAACTTTTGATCAACAGTGTTGGGCAGCAATAATTATTGAAAAATTTTTCTTATGTGGAGCTGAAACTTCACCTTCCTTGTAATTCCTGCATGTTAGGTTTTGTTTTGTAATGCAGAGCAGGTATACATTTCTCTTATATGACAGTCCTACAAGGTATGCTGTCTCAAGTTTTCATTTCACTAGGCTAGACAGTTCCAAGTTTTCCAGCCCCTTTCCTGATGCAGGGTTTGTGTATCATCACTAGATTTAGTAAGAACATTATATTTGGTTTTTATTTTAATGTTTAAAAAATACTTAATAATAACTGGGATTTTATAGAAAGAGACTCACCAAAAATATAAAAGACCATGGGCCATCCCAGGGAGTCAGAGATGAATCCAGTCAAGAGCATGACAACACAGGGTCCTAGCAGGAGTCCTAATCAGAAGGCACAAAGAACATCTCTAATGAATGCAGGCATCTGGAAGTCAAGAAAATGTAGCTCCATGGTAGCAGTGAACAATTTCCAGTGAAATAAATTTCTATAACATAACACTGAGCAGAACAAAATAATAAAATATTTGTTTTTCTCTTTTTTCTGTTGTTTAAGATAAGGAAGCCTCTTTTCCATCCAAGACAATTTCCACATCTTTTAAAGTGAGGATGCTGGAATAGATGGTTTCCAAAGCCTGAAAGTTCAAAATACACATGTTTCTCATGGCTCTAGGGAAGAACACGCTAGACTGAGAGGACAATGGGATTAAACATGCTAGGCCCTACATCATTACCTGATATACTCAGAGTGGTGAGTCGGCCTTGTTCCAAAGGAGGAGCCCACTTGACCCATATTACTTGCTGAGTTGTAAATGCTATCCCCTGAAAGAGTGATTAGAACATTTGATCTCCAATACTTTTTAAATTCACCTTCTGTGAATTTAAACTTTTGGCTCAGTTTTTGCATTCTCTTCATACCTGGAATAGTCCCTGGAGTATTCGGCACACAATGACCCAAATTTCTCCAAATTCAGCTGCCAGAGGGATGAGCAGGGTAAACAGAGAGCTGAAGAATAATGCAAAGCCAGTCATTTTCTTTATGGAGTATATTCCAGATAAATATCCAGCAGGAATTTGGGCGATGAGTACACCATAGAAGATGGAACTTAAGATGATCCCCTGTATTTCAGGGCTCCAGTTATACACAGGGTTCTGAAAGAAAAAGGAGACACATCCAGCCACTCTGCATATGGTTTTCTATGATGTTCAGGACAGCGGGAAAACTGGTCTTCCAGCTTATCCCATGTAAAGTATCTGCCCTCTGCCTAATATCCTGTCATGGGACTTCTTTATTCTTTAGAACATCATTTTCTGTGTATAATTACATTTTACGATTAGTATGATGCAGACACGATATTTTGGGAATCTTTATTTCTTATCAAATATGACAATTTCTGTCTGTTAGTGGTGTAGTTAGACCATTCACATTTAGAGATTATTGATATATAGTTGGATTAAAATCTACCATCTTTTAGCTTTTCTTGCATGGCAGGCCTGCTAGCAATAAACTTCCTTAGTTTTTATTTGCCTGAAAATGTCTTTATTCTCTTTGATTTTTGAGGTAATTTCATTGATAAAGAATTCTAGCTTGGCAGGTGGTTTTTGTTTTTTTTTTCATTACTTTAAAGATTTTATTTTATTTTTTCTTCATGTTTGAGTGGTGTCTGGTAAGAAGTCTTCTGTAATTCTTATCCTTGTTCCTCTGTAGGTAAGGTTTTTTTTTTGTTTTTTGTTTTTTTTGCCTCCTACTTCATTCAAGATGTTCTCTTTGTCTTGGTTTCCTGCCATTTAAATATGTATGTCCAGGTAATTGTACTTGTTGATCATTTTTCTTTTTGGTATTTATCCTGTTTGGTGTTCTCTGAGCTTCTTGGATTTGTCATTTGGTGTCTGCCATTAATTTCAGAAAGTTCTCAGCCAATAATTTTTCAAATATTTCTTCTTCCCATTTTCTTCTTTTCTATTTTTTCTGATATTCTAGTCATGCCTATGTTACACATTTTGGCATTGTCCACAGTTCTGGGATGTTCTGTTAAAGTTTTTTTTTTTTTCTTTCATTCTCTTTCATTTCAGCTTGGGAAGTTTCTACTGACCTGTATTCAAGTTCATTGATTCTTTCTTCAGCTATGTTAAGACTACTTATGAGCTCATCAAAGCATTCTTTATATGTTATAGTTGCATGATTTCTACTATTTCTTTTTTATTCTATTTAGTTGTACCCATCTCTCTACTGACAACCTGTTACTGCACATTGCAATTTTTTTTCCATTAGAGCCCTTGATACATTAATTACAGTTATTTAAAATTCTCTGTCTAAGAATTCCTACATACGTGTCATATCTGAGCCTGGTTCTGATGATTATGTTTAAAAAATCAAGGTGCAATGCACTGCATATAGAGTATTATTTTTAAGGTAAATAGGGGTGAAAATAAGAAAATATTTTCTTATTTGCCTATGCATTCATAAAGGGACATATGAAGAATACAGTAAAAAAAATACAGTAAAAAAAATTCTTCCCACCTATTTCCATTTTTTCTCCCGTACTACATCTTCTGATAGGTAACAACTCATTACCTTCCATAGATGAAATTAATAAAACATGTAAATATACTGCACGTTCAAAAACTTAAACAAGGAAGAAAACTGGTCTTACTTCTACTTCTCATTTAAAATGCTTTACCTTTTTTCACTTGTCCAAACTTCTTGATTCTAAAGAGGCCCTAACTCTTGGTTTTCATTCTTCTTCCCATGGAAGGATTCACACAAGAAAGCCCTTTACAAATACTGAGGCATACTTTAGTCACAGGACATGTTTATTTAGGTTACTACTGGCAAGGTAGATTAAGATTTGACCTTTTTCTAATTGTTACTGTCATATCAATTAAGATAACAGTCAAGTTCTACATAAATTAGTTGGCAAGATAGAATTTTAAACTTATGACTGTGGATAATATTTTTGATATACCTTTATGTTATCCTGGAGCTCCTTTGTGGAGGTGTTGGATAAACCATGTGGTTCTGTGCTGTTCACCATTGCTATCATTGTGAGGTTTATACATGCACGCTGTGATATTATCACAACATTAGAGAACTGCAGGAAGAGTGCGAGTCCATAGCGAATGGAACAAAAATTTGGAGCTGGAACATAGAACAGAAAGTATCCACTGTTAACACAGCTGATATCAAAACATACTTTAGGAAGGGCCACTCAGAAATTTGGACTCCTGGAGATTAATTTAAAATTTTATTGTACTAACTGGTCTTTGAGACGTTATGATACAATAGGAAAATGTGGGACTAATCTTATAATTTTGTAGCTCCTAAAATATAATCCTTACTAGAATGTCCCAGAAAATTAAGCCAGTCCTCAAGGTGCTTTGGCTCATGTCCATTTTAAAAGGACCACTTACAAATACTGAGTTACTCTTGGCAGTAAGTCCCCTTAATAACAAAAAAGACTTTTCTCAAGTAAATGCTTTATTCTCCAAATGTATATGAATAGTCTGGTTGATAAACTCAGATAGTACATTGTACAAAGAAATTGCGTTTAAAAAATGCCATGTATTTGAGGTAGTTTCAAGCTAGAGTAGTCAATGTGGTGTTGGTGTAAGGCCAAAACAAATTCATCCAATAGGAGAAAATAGGGAGTCCAGAAAGAGATGCATATATATGGTCATATGCTTTTGAATAAATGTACTAATGCAATTCCATAGAGGAAAGTATAGTCTTTTCAACAAATGGCACTTAATCAAGAGAAATAAAAACATGTATCTACAAAAAGACAAGTACTGAAATGTTTATAGCATCTTTATTCAAAATAGTGGAACGTTTGGAATGGATGAACATACTGTAGTGTGTCAATACAATGGGTATTACCCAGAAATATAAAGGAAGGAAATACTGATACACTCAACAATCTGGATGAATTTCAACAAATATATGCTCAAGTAAAGAAGCCAAACACCAGAGAGTACATATTAGTTTTATGAATTTCAAGAATAGGCAAAATTAATTTATGTGGCTAGATATTAGAATATCAATTCCCTCTTGGTGTGGAAGACTGGAAAGGGACATGATGGGACCTCAAAGTAATGTAATGTTCTATGAATCTTGCTTATAAGTTTATACTTATCTAAATGTACACCTAAGATCCATTATTTTATTTTATATAATTATACCCCAATAAATATTAAAATATTCAATAACGGTATTGGGAAAGCTGGACAGCCACATGCAGAAGATTGAAACTCGATCACTATCTTACACCATACACAAAAATTAACTCGAAATGGATTAAAGACTTGAAGCTAAAACCTGAAACCATACGATTTCTAGAAAATGTAGGTGGTAAGCTCCTTGACATAGATCTTGATGATTTTTTTGAATAACACTAAAAGAAAAAGCAACAAAAGCAAAAATAAACAAGGGGGACTACATCAAACTAAAAGACTTCTGCACAGCAAAGAAAATCAACAAAATGAAAGGCTAACCTACTGAATGGGAAAAGATATTTGCAAATTAAAAATCTGATAAGGGGTTAATATCCAAAATATATAAAGAACTCATACAACTCAACAGCAAAAATCAAACAAAAAAAATCTGATTAAAAAAATGGGAGGAAGAACACATTTTTCCAAAGAAGACATGCATATGTCAAGAAGTACATGAAAAGATGCTCAGCATCACTCCTCATTAGAAAAACACAAATCAAAACCACAATAGGATAGCATCTCACACTGGTTAGAATAGCTATTATGAAAAATACAAGAAATAAGTGTTAGTAAAGATGTGGAGAAAAAAGAATTCTTGTACACTGCACTGTTGATGGGTGCAGTCAATATGGAAAACAGTATGGCAGTTCCTAAAAAAATTAAAAATAGAACTACTGTATGATTTAGCAATTCTACTTCTGGGTATTTATTTGAAGAAAATGAAAATACTAACTCAAAAAGATATCTTCACCCCCATGTATGCCTCAGAATTATTTACAATAGCCAAGATATAGAAACAACCTAAGTATGTCCATTGATGGATGAAAGAAAACGTGGTGAATATATATACAATGGAAGATTATTCAGCTATAAAAAAGAATGAAATCTTTTTTTCTTAAATTGAACTATAGTTGATTTACAATATTATGTTAGTTTCAGGTGTACAACAAAATCATTCAATACTTTTATAGATTATATTCTATTTAAAGTTATTACAAAATAATGGCTACATTTCCCTGTACTGTTCAATATTTCTTGTTGCCAATTTATTTTATACATAGTAGTTTGTATTTCTTAATCTCCCATCCCTAGCTGACACCTCTCCTCTTGCCTCTCCCCACTGGTAACCACTAGTTTGTTCTCTATATCTGTGAGTCAGTTTCTGTTTTGTTATATTCATTTGTTTGTTTTATTCTTTAGATTCCATATATAAGTGATT